ATACAAGGCAGGAGATCAACCGCTTGGCCGAGCACCATCCTATGCAGCCTTCCTTACAGATGCTGGAGAGACAGTACAAGGCAGAGGGTCGCCGGTGTTACCGGCGATGGCTTTGAGGGAGAAAAAAATTTGGCGTGTGGGTGTGGTTTAGGTTGGTGGTTTTAAGTGGTTTGTTTGGTGTTGGTGGTGTTGGGTCTGGGCGTGTTTGCTTCAGCGCTTTTGTGGTTTCCCGGTGTTTTCTTTTTGGTGGGTAGTGTGTTTCAGTGTTGCTAGGTCCTGGGTTTGGCTTGGGTTGCGTTTGGGTTTAGGTTTTTCCGTTCTAGCGCTTTTCCGGTTTGCTAGTATCGAAGCCCCTATATAGGCTGTTACAACAAGCCTTTAGAGGCTTCACAGCCTTTGTAGGCTTTGCTGTCTGGATCCACACAGACAAGCAGAGCCACTGCAACCACACCAAATAAGTAATCCAGAACACACCATAATGTGATCCCTCGCCCAGACACCCAACTCATTCGCCGGCCCAGTTTCTCCACCACCACTATTATGCCCCAACATGTTGTGTAGTGTGTAATATCCCGCACCGTCGGTCCCAGTGCTGTTTCGTATTGTTATGTGTTGCTTTGGTTTGGTCCTTGCTTCCTCTCCCAAACCCTGCTTCTCTAGTGGATTTAGGTGCGGATCTGCTGGTCTTATACAGTTGCCTTCTATATTTCACATTGATTCTCATTGTTCCAAGTACTGGGTCACAGGCTGACACCTGGTATCTCTCAATTTGAATTTTCAAACTCAAGGTCAGATGGTATTGCATTGAGTTTGAATTTTCAAATTCAAGGTCCGGCGATCCATCAATTTGAAAAGTCAACTTGAAAGTCAGAATGCCTGACTTTCAATTTGAATTTTCAACTTGATTGACGGATCGTCGGACCTTGAGATTGCAACAGAGCAACGCACACTTTTCAAAGCACACTTGAGCCTACAGTCACGCACGTCGTACAAGTCTTGGAAAACAGTAAAAGGGGTTTCTGCAAAGTTTGCTACCCCCCTTGGAACTCACACGATCCTCTCGAGTGGGTTCCACTGCAAACGGCGCTTCTATGAGCTATTAGCTCATCTCTCCAGAGAGAACTGAAGTTCACCGAAGCAAAACTAAAGAGTACTCTGTACACACCACTGCTTCAAACTACTGATGTCGGGCCGCTTCTTGCGGAGGAAAGGAGATTTTGTTCTAGTCCCGATCATCACATACAGAGTAAAACAAGGACGTATGTGAGCTTTGGCATCTTGGGGCCCTTTTCTTGTTCTAGTCGAGAGCTCACATCTTTACCAAAAGCGTGGTGACCAAAACGGCTCTTTACAGACACTTGACTGCTGCTAGAGAAACAGGCTTACGTCAACAAAGCAACCTCAGCACTTACAGGCCAAGAAGTTAGAAGAAAAACTCTACGCTCAAGTCTCTCAGGTGTCACGTTCACGGCTTACACTGCTTACAAGCTTTGAGCTGCTTGTTCACTGCAACTCGGCGGTCGATCGTCTTGACATTGGATGGGAGATGGCTCATCCAACGCACTACGTTTCCACACGTAACCTTGTGGTATCTCTTGCCGCGCTTCGGCTCGCCGATGATGTAGACCTTGTCCACACCAGGATCAGCGCGAGGATCATGAGGAACGTCCTGCGCCTCGTTCTCGACTTCGTTGTGCTCCTCCTGGTCCTCGCCGTCGTAGTAGTAGCTCTGGGTGTAGTCTTCGTTGGCTTGGCCTTCGTCGTCACTGCCGTGTGCACCCTCAAACGGACAAAGAAGCCAACTCTCATCACCACCGTCACGCGCCGCTGAACTTGAAGGCTGATTCGTTCTCCAACTGGTATCTTCGCATGTGCCGCCGGGCTCGCCGTTGTTAGCGAAGGGGGTCTGATTGATGCCATCCTCTATGATTCCCAACTCTCGGGAGAGCCACTGATGTACTCTGTCTCGCACTTGGTTCATGTTGTCACGGGGAGCGGTGGACTCGCGATTCCAACGCCTCTTGGGCGCCATGTACACCACCAGTCCGATCATGCACACCATCATCACAAAGAACATTGCGAAGTGAAGCTTCTGCGCACTCAAGCCGAACAGGAACTCAACCCCCGAAGTCGTACTGGAAGCATGGCCGCTCATCTGCGCAAACTGGCCGGTCACAACTCCCCCCTCGAGCAAAAGTGCTAGAGCTCTAAGGATTTGACCGGCTCCCATGTTGGTCGCGACTGGCGTGGCACTAACTTGGTTCACCATCACACTGTGGTTAATGCCGAGGCCCATGAGGCCCATGAGATGATTCATCCTGGTACGAGGGTGCGGCTTCGTCTGCAAATCAGCTGGGCAATCTTTGGTTGCAATGGCCTTTGTTTCATACACTCCTTCGTTGAGCGCTTTCTGCGCCCACAGGAACCCTAAGCTGATGTGTCGAGTCCTCCCTAGCCCTTGGCGTTGGAGGATACTTCGAGTAGCTGCGTTGTCGACCATGTGCACCAACTTTACCGTAGCTTGAGGACCAACCAAAAACTGCAACATGTGCTTAAGGAATATTCCCTCCGAGAGTCCAAGCAAGGTGGCCATCAGCTCGGACTCGGCAGAACTGAGGCTGATCGTCTTCTGCACTTTGTTACCTGCGTGTCACAGGTTGCAGTTGAGGAATATGCAGAACGAAGATATCGATCTCCGATCTGAGAAGACTTGGCTTCCCCAATCTGCGTCAGTCACTACCTCCAACACATGGTGCGCTCCAAACGGCATGTTGGGATCTTCGGGTTCATCAGGATCTACACCGTCCCACTTCTGCTTCAAGGTCTTCCCTGGCTTGGTTTGCTCCAACCTAATCGGAACAACAGGGTGTAACTTGAGGTACTTCACGACATGACGTAAAAGACCAAAGTCCTCAACGGTAGGGGAGCTATTCCTCGAAGACAACACCTTCACCATGTACTGCAAGTCCGGTCTCTCAGCACTCATGTACATGAGGATACCCATGCATCGCTTATAGAGGTGGAGGTGCTCTGAGTCTAAGCTCGCTCCTTGCCCTGGCGCGGGAATCTTGGGTGGACTTGGATTTTGCTTGCCGTGAGCTTTCTCCAAACCAAGGATTGACTGAAGCCTTTCTGCATACTTCGTATCCTGGGTCACCTCAATGGCGTCACCGAGCCCTTGGAGCTTCTTCTTCAAGAAATGGGAACAGCCACTACCCAAGTCAACAGGGCCATCCACTTTCAATTTCAAGCCTTCAGCTTTGAGGTCACTGGCCAATTGCATGGGCGCACCCCTGGGTCCTAGAATTTGCATATCATCGACATGGCTGTTCAGCGCCAACTTTTGCTCTATGCAGAACAGAGAGGGGTTGCCGATGAAGCTGTTGAGGCCCTTGTTCTTTAGGATCCCGAGGAGGTGGGTGAACCAATCTTTTGCCCCTGCTCTCTGACCGGGTAGATTGTAAAGGAGTTCTAGGTCGCCGATGTGGGTCTGGATGTACGTGGGCCGCCTCTGTCTCACTTGCAAGTAAGCGTCGGTAATGTCGACGCTCAGCAGCTCCAGTGAGCTGTTCCCTGCAGCCAAACACGCAAGTAGTTTGTGGGTACAGGACACCGAAGCAGGGCTATACAGGTCCGTCAGCGAGGGCTCAAGAAACCGGTATTCTTTTGCAACAAGCCGTGCACGACGCAACCAACCATTCCTATATCGCCAGTCCAGCACATACTTGCATTGAAGACGCACTTTCCCTTCTCTATCTTGCTCTCCATTCATCGGTCTCAGCACTGTCATGCCAAGGAGGCGGTCGAGCTCCTTGAGCTCCATCTGCTTGTCGAGGTCAGCCAAAGCCTGAGCTTCGAGCTCTGGAGGTCCCTCTACATACTCACGACCTTCCCAAGGCATCCCTGCGTCACCTCTCTCACCGTCAGAAGTTTCAGGAACACCTTCTTCTTCACTTGCAAAGCCCTCGTCGCACTGTAGCTCCAAACTCTCTTCAGGGTCACACACCACGATGTCATCTTCGTGTCCATGCGGCTGCTCTGCATCAACCACACAAACGGGAAACCACTCAACCCTTCCAACCTCCATGTCGGCTGGGATGAGCTCGTGCGAGCTGTTGCTGGCAGCTCCACTCAACCCATCTAAGATGCTCTCTCCAGGGCTGCCTGCAGGTGCTTCTGAAGCCGCCGAGGTTGGAGGATCACTGGCAGCTTCGTCGCCGGGTGGCGCAGCAGAAGGTGCTGCGTCAACAAGCAACGGAACCCGTACTCGGGGGCCCCGTGGAACACGCATAGTGACTACATCTTGTACAGGATTCCAAGGAACACCGCGCATTGCCAACAAAGCATCTGCTTGATATACTTCAGCGGCTCTTCGAACTGTGCGTGCATACCCTATGCCCTTGCTGGAAGAGACAATGCTCAAAGAACCCATTGAGGAACGCCCGAGGTACACACACTTTTCCCATGGAATCCCCTTCGTCTTTGGTTTGGGCAACAGCTGGCAAAAGACGACTGGCCCAAACGCTGCAATCTTTGCATCAAACTTTCGCCCATGGACCAATTCGAACGAGGTGACCCCATCTGTGTGAACATGGTAACGCGTCAGTAAGAAGGCTGCGTGCCTGAAGCTCCACTGGTACAACGGGTGGCTCGATTTCAACTCGACTTTCGAATTGGCAGACACGGTGTGCAAGAGGCAAAGACCAAGGCGGCGAACTTTATCTATGTAGCGCTTTGCTCTCAATCCCTGATGTTCACTGGAGTCTCAATCTCAGTCTTTAACTTTAACCCCAACCGTGTCCTAGCCATCTGCACCATCTGCAAAAGCTTCTTCATCGAAGGCTCACTGTCCCCTCTAAAGGTGACCTGGTCAAAGCCGAGGATCGAAGCCATCTTGACCAGCTCCTCCACGGCAGGTTTGTTGTCCTCAGCTGCTTTAGAACGCACCGGCACACAGACCACGTACTTTGTAGTGTGGCACACTGCCACCAACTGAGTCGTCAAGGGGTGCTCATCATTCTCAGCTTCTCCTGTCCTATATTGAACATCCAGTCTACCGAAATGACCGGCACTTCTCTCTTCGGCTGGACCTCTGGATGTGGGTCCTCTCTCGAAAGGGCAGCTTGGCAGCTCTCACACCAATCGGCCCGAGGGAGGTGAGTCAGCTCGTGAAGCATGACGGTTTGAGCGTCGGGGCGTTGAGGAAGAGGGCCGTGATTGACGTCAGGGGTGTACTCTGCTATGATGGCATCATGTGCTTGCACGGCTGACTTGAGCTTGTTAAGCGCAATCTCTTTCTGCAAACGCGTCCACAACAAACTCTTAGCACCACTCTGCGGAAGCTTCAAGTAGCGGCACGCCCAACGAAGATCACGAAGGCTAGAGGTTTCATGAAACTCCTTGTCACCTACCTTCACCACCTCGCCTTCCAAAGGCACTTCCTGCATCTCCGGTCCGCCCACGGGCGCGCCTGGCTGTTGAACTCCATCATCTGCTTCTTCAGGTTCGGCAGCTTCTTCTTGAGACTCAGCAGGTAACCTGGGAACCAGAGGAGATTGAAGGTCAACGACAACTTTTCCCAGGTCAGTGGCAGCCAAGGCGTTCCGAGTCAACAAGGTCACGATCCTAGTCGGCTGGCACCCTATATCCACCACAGGCTTCAACTCCCAATTCTCACCGCACTCGAAAATCTCAAACCTGTTCTCCCCTTTGTGCACCAAAGTCGTACGAAGAGGCAAGATCTCGGGGTCATAAAGCTGGCTGGGGTCTGCAGTCACTGTAGAGTTCCACTGCACGTGTGTGGGCGTTGATCCCGAGGTCACTTGCCAGCCTTGCCGCTTGAGTCCCGCTAAGAACTCATCGTTCACCTCAATCACCACGCGTACACAAGCTTCTTCGGTCCTCAGAATGCGCATGGTGGCCGCAACAGAATTTCGGGCAAAGTGGAGGGGAAACTCTTGCTCGCCCTTGCACATCACCATGACGCCGTCATCTGTAGCACTAGCTTTCGGATACCAGCCACCACGAAACAGCTTACCAGCGCATAACAAAGGTTGCCGAACATTTGCTAGCACAGCTCGATCTCGAAAAACAATCTCCCGACCATCAAGCCCTTGCACCACGAAAGAAACATTGGCTCTCTGCGACATTTGCGGAATCGGCGTGCCTTGGGCATCCAAGAGCCGAGTAGTCTGCTTCTCCGCCACACCGACGGTGCTGAAGAGATGCGCCGGAAGCACCGTGACATCAGCACCTGAATCCAAGATTACTTCACAGGGCTCGGAAGGGTCCTTAGGGCAGCACACCGCACGAACTTCACAGTCGCATTCAGAACTGCACTCTCGGAAAAACTCATCTCCACTGCTGTCACGATCAAGTTCGAAGCAAAACGTGCTGGTGGAAGGGAGCTCGCACTCTAGCTCAAAGCACTCGACGCTTGCAAAGTCTACTTCTTCAAACTCAGCGCTAGAGTCACTGTACCAACAACCATCACACGCACTGACTGCCCTGATGTACTCATAGGCTTCAGCAGGAATTTCGGATTCATCCCACCAGCCATACTCATCCCAAGCTTCTTCACCCTCGTAAAAGTCAAACTCCGAAACCAAAGCAGTGCTATGCCAAGCCCCAGTGTTGTCACCATCGTCGTCTGGAAGCTCCTCGATCAGCGGCAATGTGTCCAGCTCCATGCGGCAAACCTTGGCTGGGGAAGAGGTTGTTGTTGAGGGTGCTGTTGTTGAGGATGCCGTTCGGGTAGTACTTGAGGAAGCCCTAGTGCTCACAGAGGCATTATCGTCTTCAACTTGGTTCACGCGGCGATCTCTGCACTCAGCTGCTCGGTGACCCATGCGACCACACACAAAGCAAGGACCCTTTACGGCTCCACCTTTCTTGCCCTGCTTGCCGCCTTCATTGGACCACTTGCCCTTGTAACCCTTGCCTTTGTCCTGGTTTCCTTTTCCAAAGCCACCGAACTGAAAGCCCTTGCCAAAACCAGGTTTGCCCTTGCCGGTCTGGTAGTACCCCTTGTAGCCCTTTAACCCTTTTCCTTTGTCACCACGGCCCTTGCCCTTGGAGTCCTTTCCCTTTGCTTTGCCTTTCTCGACGCGGTCCACGTCCATTGGGGCAAGACCTTGTCCATCTCCTGGGTACGAGTTCTTATCGAGGCCTATGGCTTTCATGACATACTCCGTGCTCCAAGTTGTTGAAGTGCGCTCAAACTGTAGCAAGATGCCCCTCACCTTCTGATAGGTCGTTGAATCATCTATCTGCAACTGCAAGTAGCGCTTCACATCTTGGGGTAGGCCACTGAGGAGGGTCCCTATCTTTAAATCGTCTGGGTAGGTCTTGGAGGAGGCCTTTTCGTACTCCGAGACCATTTTTCGAACGTGAGAGCATACTCTAAAACTGAACCGCCATCTCGAAGAGGTGGGAACTTGGTGAGGGCCTGTGCTAAAGCCAGCGTCCGGGGTCGGGAAGATGGCTGCAATTCTTCTGACAACTGCCGCCAGACCCTAAAGCCATCGCCACTTGCCACGGATCTCAAGTTTTTAAAGCACGGCCCTTCAAGTAGGAAGCCAGCACCGAATACAATCTCAAAGAACGCGCTCGCAAAGCCGGACTATAATCCTTAAAGGAAACCCACATCGTTGCAGTCTCAGCTTTCTCAAAGTCAGCTCTATATTCGTCGTCTTGAACTGCCATGAAGTTCCGGAAGCTGAAGGACCAATCGGGCCAAAGAGCAACCTCTTCATCTAGGGTCTTAGCACTGAAAACCTCTGGGCTCTTGATCCACTTGCTCTCTTTCCAAGGACTGCCACCAGACGACCCACTGGCTGAGAAGCCGCTTCTGCCAAACGCCCCAAAACGATCTCTGGGGTCACAGCTTGCGCCGGGGGCGGCGTAGCCGCGGTCGCTCCAACGGACGCGCCCCCTGGGCTCGCCCCTCCATCATCTCCAGCCGCAGGCTGAGGCTGGGTCGCCTCACCAGTAGAAGTAGCCATCCTTCAAGAAGGGCTCAAGGCTCAAACTACACTCCAGGCAAGGAGGTAACCTTCTGGAAGCCGCGAGCACTCGAGCACGCGAAGAAAGTCCCCTGGACTATGCTGGCACAAGCCAGGGCTCAGGATTGCTGCGAGCACTTAGGCACACAACAACCCACTACACTTACGAGCTCGCACCTTCGCAAGCTCCGCTACCACAACAGAGCAACGCACACTTTTCAAAGCACACTTGAGCCTACAGTCACGCACGTCGTACAAGTCTTGGAAAACAGTAAAAGGGGTTTCTGCAAAGTTTGTTAGATTGAAAATTCAAATTGAAGGTCAGATGACCTAACTTCGAATTTGAAAATTCAAATTCAGTTGTTTCTATTCCCTCTGGAATGACTCAAAGATCACACCATCAACCAAATCATTTCCCACCACATAATGTTTGTACATTTCATAGTACGAACTGCAACCACAAACTAGATCCCGGACCCTGCAAGCCTTCCCTCCCACATACTGGACCACCGGATTATGCTCCAGGCCGGTGGGCGACTGGCTGGCTGCAAGACTTTTCGGGTGGTGGGTGTGTGGGTGGATGTGTGGGTGGTTGGGTGGCGGGGTGACGGCGGGTAGGTTGGTGGGTAGGTGGGTGGGTGGTTGGGTGAGTGGGTGGGTGGGTTCAACGGGTGGCTTGGTGGCAAGGGTCTGTGCGTGGGCGGGTGGTTGTGTGTGTGTGTGTGTGGGTGGGTAACCGGATGGGTGTTTGCATCAACCCTAAATCTCAACCGCAAAACCTAGACTCTATAGCTCCTACCACAGAGAACCTTCCACAACCTACAAAATGCAACATATAAACCAACCAGCCTTGCAACAACATTCTACTCCAGCCACCAAGTTCCGAAAACAACAAAAACCCTAAAGCCTTAATTATGAAACCTTTTGAGATTTTCTTGATAACAGCACATAAGTGTAGTGCTCATGAGAGCTGATCACTACCAGGCCCAACAGATGTCGTCCTCTTCATTACATTGGCACAGATGCATTCTGCTTCCTATATGAATACACTACACATACATGTTGCAGCAGCTGCTCTACCAACCGGACATGCATACATTGTATGCAGAAAAACCACATTGCTAGGCATGTTTTGTCGTGTAGACACCCATGCATGCTGCTTCCCTTTTTTGTGAATGCCTGATCCGGTGTTATGTCGGTTGCTGCCTGATCTTCCCTGTCAAAGAATTTATGGAAAAGTACGAGCATATGCGATTCCATGAATTGGAAACACACAAAGCTGCAAGCCTTACACCCTTTCAACGACAACACGAGCAACCAACAACAAAACAATCTACAACAATGGCTCCGCCCACCGTTTTTTGTTTCTCTCTCTCTCTCTCTCTCTCTCTCTCTCTCTCTCTCTCTCTCTCTCTCTCTCTCTCTCTCTCTCTCTCTCTCTCTCTCTCTCTCTCTCTCTCTACCGGGCGTAGGGGTTGGGCCAGCGTCCAGGGCCCCCCCCCCCCTGTGCGTGTCCGCACACCCGCGTTTCACGGGTTGTCCTTCATCCCCTGTCGGTTTTACAGAAAGGGGCTCGGCTTTACTTGTAAAGTGAGAAGGCCAGTATTTGTTCCCCCCCCCCCCCCGGAATCATCAACTAAGCCCAAACGCAAACTAGAGCAGCAAAGCGGGGCACATACTGGCCTTCTCCGGGAGCAAGAGGAAAAGGCATGCCGTTCCCCGTGGTTTCACACGGGTAACTCTGAACACGTCGAGGCTGGAAACAGGGTGAATTAGTGCCTCTTGTCCCCCGAATTCAGTTGCGATAGGTGTGCTGAAAAGGAACTAGGATTAGGGGCTTTTTGTCCAGCCCGTTTGAGTGAGGGTTTGCCTGAGAAGGGCCATGTCGGCCCGTATAAAGAATTCACACCGGAACGCAGCTTTGCTGGTACTTTCAGGCATACAGTGAGGTCACAGCGAAAGACCGAAGGTATGTGCAGGTGCATGACAGCGAGGTTGCATTACGGGAACGAGGGCGGGTCAGTGTCATCCCCCGAAGTCAAAACAGGCAAACCCCAAAAGAACACATCCCCCCCGCTCGCTCCCTCAAAACTTTTTACACACGCCTTCACTCACTTTGTTCAGCATCGTCGCTCGTAGCTGGCCCGCATGTGCTGCTGGACTCGCTGCACTGCCCTCCAACTTGCATTGGGCCGGAGGTTGGCTCTCAGAGGGCTTCGGCTTGGTGAGCGAGGCCTTTGAGTTCCCACTGCTGAGCTCGAGCTGGCCTCAGGTTGTGTGGTCCCCCCCGGAGTCAGGCTGGCGTCGTCCTGGTCGACGTTTTCATTGGGGCTGTCGCTTCCCCAGTCCGGTGCATCGTCAAGGAGGTCCGCCTCCCCCATTGTCGGGAGTGTCTCCTCCCCCACTGCTGCAGGGGTCCGGCTTGGTTCGTCCTCGGGCTTGCTCTTCTCGTCCCTGCGTTCTTTCTTGTCTCTGCGGCGCTTCCGGTCTTGCCCCTCCTTCTTGGACTTCTTGCGCACGGCCTTCTCCCCTTTCGCGGTCTTCTTGTGCGCGGGCTTCTCTGGTTCATCCCCCTCGCGAGTTTTGTTGAAGACACGTTTCGCTTGGGACAAAAGTGGGGCAACCTTCCACGGAAACCTCCCCACATAGATCCGCAGCTCCTCTTCTATACGTGGGTTGTGCTTCCCCACCAGCTCCACCAGTTTGTCGGCATTTCTGCCGGTGGCTCGCCTTTCGTTGTGGCGCTGCAGTAGTCGGCGGCTTCGTCCTCTGGCAGTGGGTCCCCCGTCGCCCAGTCCACGTATTGCTGGGAACGCCAGAGGTAGTGGATGTTTCTCCCAATCCATCGGTCCAAAGGTCCTGGCTCATACAACAACGCCAGCCCGCCTCCCGTCTCAAAGCGGACATAGCGTTCCCATGGCTTCCCGCTTCCCCCGCCGCCAGTGTCTTCAGGGTTGTGGGCTTGTACCAACACTTTCTGCGCAGCTCCCCCGCGCCGGGTGAACGTGCCGTTGGCGACCATGGTCTTGTAGCATCCTTCCCCCGGCTCGTGAGCTTTGTGGCAGAAGGGGCCCTGCAGGCACGCTTTGCAGGTCACCCCCAGCACCTCTGCCAGCTTACATTGCTCCTCCCAGGTGGTGTCGACCTTAGCTGGCTTTGCAGATGGAGACCTCAGGCGCTGTCTCCCCCTCTGCTCGTCTTCCCCCCGGTGGGGTTCTTTGAAGAGCTTGCCATCGAAGTAGACGTGGTACCAGTACTTTACGAGATCACCGTGTGGTCCACCGGCACAAAGTATGCCCCTTCCCCCTACTAGCGGGCCACCTTCCGGAGAAGGGCCGCGGTCAGGTTCCAGGTTGAGCGAGCCTACAAGGGGCCTCTTAAACAAAGTGGCAACGGGTATGCAGACTCAAGCAATGCTGGGGAAGACAGGAAGGCTCTCCTGGAGTCACAATCCAGGCCAACCCCCTCTGCCTCCCCCCCCAGCAAAGGGGCGTTACAGATCACAGGTGCATTACTTGAGCCAAAATGGCTACCTCTCTCTCTCTCTCTCTCTCTCTCTCTCTCGCTCTGTTTGTCCCTCTCTCTTCCTGACATACCTCTTCTGTCTGTTCATGGTCCTTTGTTGTCTGGTTTTGGCTGCTGTGTCTGTGTCTGTGTCTGTTGTCTTGCTTCGCTTCGTCTTCCTACATACGTATGGCATGGCATGTTTCTTGAACCCTTGTATGTAGTTTTGATGTAGAAAGCCTATAAAAAGGCTTCAGCCTTTATAGGCTTTTCGTCCTGAGACAGGGAGCCTATAAAGGCCTCAGCCTCTAAGGCTTTGGTTTGGTTGTGCTACAGGCAGCTTTTGCATGCTAAACGGTTCAGGATTTAGGGCTTAAAGCCTGTACGGCTTATGTTGTGCAGTCGGGTGTATGCAACAGAAGCCAAGTCTAATTTTTTTATGCTTCGGCACAGTTTAAAATCACAGCGGCATTTTGCTGCAAAGGACTGTGGAGGAAAGTAGTGTGTAGGTGCTTGCTGGCATGGCTTCCAAGCACTGGACGGTTGATGACATCGAGTCCGAAGTGAATGCCATGCGCGTGCTTATCCAAGCAAGGCCTGGCAAGAAGGACTTAGCAACACAGCTGCTCGGTTAGCTGGCACAAGCTGGAGAACATGCCTGCACTTTCTGCCGAGCAGCTCGTTGCCTTGTACGAGTTGGTGAAGAAGTGTGGCTTGCCCGACTCCATGAAGGAGGAGCTCAATGCTCTTGTGGACAGCAAAGCCACCGGTGACAGCTCTGCAAGTAAGCCAGTTTCGCCGACGGATTGCTTCAACCTCATCGATTTCTTCACAGCTTCGGAGTTGAATCAGTTGGAGGCATGCAGCATGTGGCAAGGTGCTTCGATCGTGGCATCTCGTTTGAAGATGCTTGGCTTTCGAGCCATGAAGGAGTCAACCAAAAAGTCGGCGACTGCGGTGCCCGTTTGGTTCGAGACAAGGCGGGCCAAGGACATGGTCCCACCGGATGGCGATTCAGTGTATTCGTTGTCTCAGCATGCGCATTACGCCTTCGTCACAAGCACTACACCGGTGCCGGCAGGAGTTCCAACCTTGCCCAGCTTTCCTTCCAACCCGAAGCACTTGAGCAAGGACCACTTCCAGGCAGCTTACCCGGACGAGCCACCTGCTACCGGCAAGTCCTTCCCAGGTCTGGCAGAGATGAGGAACCATCATGCTTGGCTTCGGAACTCCAGCAACTCAGTGAGCCAGGAAGGTAAGAAGAAGGTTACTCGGGTCAGCGCTTCCAGAATAATCTTTTTAGCGCCTGCGAAACTGACCTTCTTCTGTCAGGCAAAGATTATGAGCTTTAGTACGGCTTTTTGCTGCTACTCATTCATTGTCGAAGAAGTACCACAGCTCATTGGTTATACTTTGAAATCTGTTTAAGCCATAACCATGCAACCAAGGTTGGGAAGGCTGCCAGCCAAGTGCAAGCTCAAGCTCCCACCCTCGTGCTGGACCAGCAGCAACAGCAACAGCAGCAAATGCTTTGCATTGGCAACTTCTTGAACTCGATGCACCAGAAGTTCCAGTGCAACCAGCCTGCACTCAACTTGTCCTTTCCTCAGCCTGGGCGAGGCCAGGTTACTGGTCTGCCGTTGCAAAATGGCCTTGGCCAGTTCGCTTCGCAGAACAACGGTGCTCAGCCTGGTGCTTTGCCTTTCCAGAATGGCTTCCAAAGCAACCCTACTCAGCCTGGTCAGCTGGCTTTGCAGAACGGCTTCCAGAACAACCCTACTCAGCCTGGTCAGCTGGCTTTGCAGAACGGCTTCCAGAACAACCCTGCTCAGCCTGGTCAGCAGCCAGCTGCTTGCACAGCTGTGGGCCAAGGTGCTGCTTCTGCAGGCCTTCAGCTTCCTGCTGCCGACCCCGAGCCGGAGCAAGCGGAGGAGCAGGAGGAGGCCGGTGCAGGGTTGCAAGCTTTCGAAGAACGGGCTTTCGAGAAGCTACAGAAGAAGCAGGCCGGGGCGAAAGCAAAAGCGAAGGCCAAAGCCAAGGGGAAAGCCAAAGCACAGGCAAAGGCGAAAGAGCCTCTGCTAAGGCGAAAGCCAAAGCACGGGCGAAGTGCGCAGCAGCGGCCAAGGCCAAGTCCAAGGCTTCCAGCTCAAAGCTTGGATGCCTCAAGTGTGGTTTTTCGTGTGAGGTTTGTACCAAGCCGGGGTTCAAAGGTTTGAAACTCACTCGGGCAGAGTGGCTTGAACGAGCCCAGAAAATGGGCTCAAGTAGAGGAGTTTCGCCGGGGTGCAGGGGAAGGCTCGCATCGAAGCATGCTGCAGCCGTGATCTGTTTTGGCATGGGGCCTCAATGCCTCTTTCGTGTACATCCACAAGCACTCGCAGCGACGTGTTTCAAGCGGCAGCGACAAAGGCCTGCACGGCTTAGCCTTCCTAAGCAGGTTGCTCGGGAGTACTTGTAACTGTCCTCCAGCTTTCAAAGCTTTAGCCTTTCCAGGCTTTCAGACTTCAGCCTTTCCATAGGGTTCTTTTCAAAGGTTGAGGATTTCTATGGCTTGCTGGTGCATGGGATTGTTTTAGCTTTTTGTATGGCTTTAGCAGGGTATACGGGGTTTATAGGGCTTTTGGTGCTTGCATGTACATACATAAATAGTCATTGCCTTGAAACCGAAAGCCTTTCCAGGCTGTTATGACTGTCAGAAGAAATACCCACCTTTTACAGAAAACCAAAATAGGTTAAAGGCTATAGCCTTCAAAGGCTTCGAGCCTTTACAGGCTTCTAGCCTTTGCAGGCTGAAAGGCTGAAGCCTTTACAGGCTCCAGCCTTTAAGGGCTCAAGCCTTTTGAAAGCCTTCGAAAGCTCAAGTCCAACCACTTTGAACCTTTGATGAAGAGCCCAATGGTTGCAAGTGCCGTGCATGTTTGACCGGGGTGTCGCTGCAAGAAAGTTTTTGAAAGCCTTGAGGGGCTCAAGCCCAACCACCCTAAACCTTTCAAGAACAGTCGAAAATGTGGTTGCAAGTGCGAGCAGAGACTGCATGTTTGATCGTGGTATCGCTGCAACATATGGCCATGCATATGTATGATGCTTATATGTCCAAAGTGTAGTGTGGATAATCATGGTGCCTTGCGGCTGCCGGTTTGCATCATGTATGATGCATCGCGCTTGGGCTGAATGGCATGGATAAAGATGCAGCTGCTTCAGGGTGGCCAGCGAAACTGCAGAAGCTGCATGATCTGAGAAGGGGTGCCCTATGTCTCGAAGTCTGCATTGGAGGGGATTTTGAAGACCATTCATGAGAAAGGCCTGCCCGAGGTTGTTCACACAAAGGCGATGCTGGAAGCAACTCGAAAAGAGATATCTTCTTGGAATGCCTACGGCAGCCTGCTTCAATCCTGCAAAGTCATCGATGTGCATGGTGCAGAGAAAGACCTCATGTTCCTGAACTTGCACAGCCTCTTGCACGGACTCTTCAAGCAGGGTGGGTCTTTCACAGATCTTTTGAGAAGCTGCCACAGTCGGAATCCATCGAGTGCTGCCAACCCATATTGAAATCCTGGGCATTGTATTGCTCTTTCTCTGAGTTCGGCGGACCTGTGCTGTCTTGCGAAGATGCTTCGGTGTGCTTGATGTTCCAAAAGACAAGCTTCATCAGCCAACTGGATGGCTCTATGAGCCAGCTCTTGAGAAGGATCTTGGCTTCTTTCCTGCATGAAGCATTTTTTGGCATGTGTTTGCAGCCTGGGTGCATAGCATTTAGATGCTTCAGAGTTTCATAGCTTTTCGATGCTTTCGCCCATACAGCCAAGGAACACGCGTTCTGCAATGATGTTGTGGATCCGCAACTTACAGGTGTTTTGTTGCAATCTCCGAATCCTCATGATCCATCATTGCCGCTGCATTTCAAATTCAAGATCCTGGTCCAGGACGGGGCTGCACAGAAGTATTGTCTGTCCATAAAGGGGGACTCCGGCTCAAAGTTTTGTGTCGAGTGCAAGAACTGCATCTGCATCAGATCGAGCAGACAATGCGAGAACGATGAAGATGCAGAGGAGGACACTTCGACTGCCAAGTATACAAGGAGATCGCAATTACAGATGGCTACTGATGCGGAAGTACTTGCAAGCTGGCTGAGGATGGAACCATGATTTCTTTCCGAAACACCGAAAGTGTTTGCACAGTGGGAGCAGGCAACAGGTTTCTCCTTTTCTTCCCAAGCCTTGTTGGGGTCTACGGGGCTCAGATCTTTTTTGGAACCGGTGAATTTTTACATGCACGACTGGATGCATGGAGTGGCTGCCAAGGGAACATTGAACATCGTCGGCTACCTTTTCCTTCAAGCAACGCAAGAGCAAGGGCTTCAGAGTTGGTCTTCCTTTCGGGACTACCTCGGCTTATGGGTGCTGCCTGCAGCTTCCAAAAAGGCATGCCCGGATCTCCCAAGTTTGTTTGACAGCAAGCGGGTGGAGGCATGCAAGAAGAGCTGCAAACTGAAAATGCAAGCTTCCGAGCTTTTGTGTATTGGCCCCATCCTGTCCCACTTCGCATCAACTGCATGTGCTGGAGCCGCAGATCAGAGGCCTTGCAAGGCATTGGTTGCCATGGTTTTTTCTTGGAGCTTTTGACATCCGTGGTGCATGGGTGTGTGTGCGAGGAACAGACCTGGACAAAGCAGCTGAGCGAGCTCTGCAGCTGCTCCTTGACAACCAATGGGAAGCTTGGATGGTCAAGAAGTTCCACTGGATGCTTCATTATGGAGACAGTTGGAGGCAACATAATTGTCTCGTTCCCTGCTTTGCTATGGAGCGAAAACATAAACAGTTGACCAAAATCGGAACCCCAATAAAGAACATGAAGGCCTATGAAAGGGCAGTGCTCGAAGAGGTCGTTTCCGACCAGCTTTTCAACTTGAAGCAACCGGGCCGTTTCGACATGTCCTGCAGGCTGCTTTTTCAAAGTTGCAGGGCCACTCGGGCCATGCAGGAACTGTTGAGCCAGCATGGTGTGGCAACGGGCCAGGTCAGCATTTGCAGAACCTTGAAGCTTGCTGGGGGCGGATCTGTTTCAACTGGTGACGTTGTGCTGCTGCAGATGCAATCGGCTTTGGCTTGTGGCATTTTGCTGGCCAACTTTCACAACGGCCAGCCTCACAGCATTGTCAGGTCCTTGGATTTCCAGAAGACTTTGGCCGATGCTGCCGAATGGAAAGAGGCACACGACAACCAAGCACATGTGGTTAGCAGCTTTGGAATATTGTGTGCTGTCACTTATTCCAAATCGTCTGATGTGTTTCGGACTTTGTTGCCGTACCATGCTCGCCACCTTCTGGCACGAGGGTCCTGAACAGCCATTCTGTGTGTGGTGATTTGGCCCCACGGCAAGTGCAGCTACAGGACTTTGCAACCCTACCATGCGAGCTGTTGGCTGCACAAAGACAGAAGCGTGATGATGTTCAGGTCCCTGTAAAGTTTGTTATGGGCTTGGGAAAGTATTCAGGTTTATGCAGCCTCTATAGGCTTTCTTCCGCCTGCAAGAGCTTAAAGAAGTCCAGCCTGCATAGGCTTTGCCATCAGCCTGCAGAGGCTTTTTTTCCTCAGCCTGCACAGGCTCCTGATGGCTCGGGCCCTGCATTTTCAATTTTCTGGTTTAGGATGTCGGCTCTATGTACGTCTCCTGCTGAGTGTTCCTCCTCCAGCCTTTACAGGCTTAATGTTCTCTTGCAAAACTCCGGTTCTTTCTTTTGCTCGAATGAAACATGATTTCGGACCCATGCTCCTCCAAATCTGGAGCCCCGGCCAAGAAAACGCATCACCCCCATTCCCCTTTTGTTTCGTCTGTTTGCTTCCTGAAACCTGCGTTCTCATAACGAAATATTGTTTTTTCCTTCACAACTAGAAAAAACATATCCGGATTAAAGAAACAAACGTACATTTCACCACAACTAAATGCTTAGTAAGTCAAGACTAAACAGTTATTAAGTGCCGGCTAAATAGTTAGTTAACTCTTTGCTAACATGTTAGTTTTTGCCATTACCAACTCTTATATCCGACTTACAACTGGCTTATAAAGTCAACAAACAAGATAACTCCTTAACAACACCGCAACCGATCCAAGTGGGTGCGTGGGTGCGTGGGTGCGTGCGTGCGTGCGTGCGTGCGTGCGTGCGGGTGTGTGGGTGTGTGGGTGTGTCCACCCCACACTCCTCCACCCCTACCCTACTCCACCATGCTCCACCCCTGCCCCACCCACCCACCCCATCCCACCACCTCCCCACCACCCCACCAAACCTACCCTACCCCACCCACCCCACCCCCCCACCCCACCCCAAAACCAACCGAAGTTATTCCACCAACCAGGCACAACCCAGCACAGATACCAAACAAGGCATTTCCAGGACTAAAGTTGTACTGCAACCAGCAACAGTCAAGCCAGGAGCCAAAGCGATGCATTTCCAGTAAAAACCAAAATGGCCAGGACCTCAAACGAGGCACTTCCAGTACTGAAGTCGTACCAATTGTACTACAACCCAGCACAATCCAGCCAGGACCCCAAACGAGGCATTTGCAGTATTAAAGTTGTACCAATCCGCAGGAAACGGCACCTCCCTAATTCCAAGTAAGTGCAGCGGAGATTAGGGAGGTGCCGCTACCTGCGGATTGGTACATGGAAATTGGGGGGTTGTGCTGGGTTGTAGTACGACTTCGGCAATTAGTTGTTTTGCCCGCCTGCCTGTGTGCCAAGTTGTACTACAACCAATCACAACGCAGCCAGGCCCTTGCCAAGCACAATCCAGCCAGGACCCCCAAGAAGGCATTTTCAGCCAGGGCCCCAAGCGAGGCATCTAACTGCTGGATAGTTATCTATCTCATTTGTATTCGTGCATCGACTAGCTATTTGAGTCTTAGTTAAGTAGACCTTCGTGAATCTGCACACTGTGACATATTCATCACATGCTGAACCGATATTAAACTCACATGAACGAAAACAGGAGCAATAATCATTGTTTCAATTTAGATAGCTGGCATTGGTAACTCATAATTGCAAGCTTCACACGAATACTCGATGAGCAGTATGTAGGCATTCAAGATTGAAAACAAATAAACTGCATTTTAACTCTAACGAGAACAGTGTAACACATGGATCGCAGTTACTGGTTTGATTATTAAGTAAGAGGAAGTACGGGTAGCTTTTGCATACGAGCCTTCTATGCCGCTCGGAGTCTTTAGGGGTTCTAGTTCAAGGCTGAAGGTTTGGAGCCGCATTATTTCACTATTTGTGCATAACACTAGATTCACTAGATGATTGAAACGAATGCGAGTAACAATGCTTTTACACGTTCCTTCTGATTTAATAGATACTCCGAAAATGTGCGAAATCGTGATCGCGATGGTAGGTGAGTGCTGTCGAGAACAACGCTGATGGCAATACCCTGAGGCGTTATTCCTGTTCCAACGTTGCGAAAGAGAAGGTCAGAAGACAGGACTCCGTTGTCGCACTCTTGGATGCGTGCTGTCGAGAAGAACACGGACGGCAATAATCTGAGGCTTTATTGCTGTTCCAGCCATGCACAAGAGAAGGCCCAAATACAACACTCTTGGCTGCTCAAACCCGAGATGCACGGATTCCGGAGGGGGTAAAGCACATATATATATATATATATATATACATAGATACATATGGACATTTAACATACATATATACATACATGTGTACTGCATGTGTGTGAGTGGATGCATAAACACACATCTTCTTTGATCTTCTTTGATTTGTTTGTTGGTCTACTTCGCTTACTTCTTCATGTCCTCGATGCTTCCTTGTTGCCCCTCCATGCAGATATATATATATATATATATATAGGTTCTACACTGTTATGCCTTTCAGGCCTTTCAGTGCGGTATCAACAAATGTACAAGAAGATGAACTTATATACGTTTCCTTACTGTTTCTCACTTGCTCAATTCATGTACTCGATGCTCCTCGCCCCTTCACCGCTCCCTGGGTTTTTACCGACCGACCCCGACAGCGCAGGAAACCCTCAGACCAAACAGCAGAAGTCTCAAACTGAGGCTGCCATCGCACACCTCCTCCGATGTCACACTCGCGTTTTCAAAGGTTGACGGCTCGGGCAGAGCATCGAGATCATGGACAGGGGTGCAGCACGCCGCCCATCCATCCCTCAGCTACCCAGGTCCACCTTCACCAGCATGTTTCAAACTAAGTCGCCCCTCATCCAACTGCGCAAGCTTGCGCCAGGGCAAAGGCATTTCACTTTTGCAGAAGTTCTGCGGGTCGAGTTGCAGGTTGGGCTGCCAATACCCGGAGTAAAAGCAGCTGTTTTGCAGCAACCCTTTGCCGGCCTGCTGCGCCATGCCTTTCTGGCAACCCTCGCGCCGGTCTGCTCGAGCCAAGCTGGCGGATTCTGGTCAGTACGTCGGGTGAGATCCTACCGCAGACTTGATGAGGCCTTGCAAAAACATTACAGTAAACAAAAGCAATCAGCATCTAGTGCGGGCGTCATTTTCCTACCTAGCCCTGCCGAAGTCCTGACTTGGTCGGAAAGTGTCGGAAATGATGAGAGTAACACAATTGCGGAGCCAAGACAAGGTTTGGACTGGATGCCGCCAGATCTTGGCTTGCGGAGCGGAGGTCGTGCTCACCGACCACTTCTCACTCCGGTGGCCCCTTTCAGCCTGGCCGCCTCACAATCAGAAGCTTGTCTTGAGTGATTCCCAAGCTTGCGGGAATGTGGCGTAGCGTTGGAGCTGTTAAATACCTGTCATTGCATGTCATCAACTCTATGTGCTTGACGCTCACATTTACTTGGCTTGCCCTTCATGCAGCCATATCACCGCTCTCTGCACCGAATTGCGCCAGACCTGCTGCTGGAACTCTTGCCGGTCTACCACTAAACACCTTCATCGACTGTGTAGAGAGGATTGACGGCACATAAGCACCACAGGCCTCATCCACATCCCCAGTCTGTCGATCACAATGCCGCAGAAGCCAGGCCTCAGCAGTCGTACAAAGGTACCTAAACATGATGGTTGAAAACTTTGGGAAAACTACTTGCAACAACAAGAAAGTACATTACCAATGCACAAGAAAAGTAACAGACCAAAACCTGGACTTGCGCGGCTGTTCGCGCAGGAGCATCAGCTGCAGGCCAAGCCAGTTCAAGCCATCCCCCTGTTGGTTGTCAGACCTTAAGCCAACATGCCAATTCAAGATTTAAGGTGCACAACTTGAGGCTGGATAATTCTCGCCAGACCTGTTGCCACCCAAACCTAGCATTCAGGAAGCATTCTGCCTCCGAAGCGCCAAATGCAGTCGCGACCTGGAATCTCGTTGTGCTCGAGCAGAAATGCATCTCCTGTTAGATCCAGAAGTTCTGCCATCAGCGTTCCGGGAGCGAACCTGTTGAGCACGGGTCAACAAGATCTCAGCATGACCTAACCTGCCTCGGCGCGGCCGGACATCCAGAGGTTCCTCCTCCCTGGTTGATCACCCTTCCCGGGCACCCCTCCTCCCCGGCCTTTCCCATCCATATCTTTGCCATGGTGCGTGCTTGTGTTCTTGCGGCTCCTGCAGAGTTGAGGTTTTACAGGATTCCGATAGCTAGCCTGACAAACGACGATGATCAAACTGGGAATATGTCGTAAACCTTCTTGCGATCCTTGGACAACATCTAAAACCAATCCTCAACAACTTAATGCCTGTGGCCTCCCAGGGAGCTTCGTACTGAAGGGCTTGAGAGCATGGGAGAGTGTACGGTCCTCGTCTTGCTGAAAAAACAGCACATCTGAAGCTTTCATAAACGCAGCATCACCAGCACATCAACGTTCGGCTGTCGCCCTGCTCTCGGATCTGCTGGGCCGAGGCGGACGGCGCGGAGCGCTAACAGTTCACGGCTCTGCAAGTACCCTCTCCGGGCCACTTCGAAAGCCGAGATGCTTCACTTCAAGGACAGAGGCCATGGCTTTCCAGTTGCTTCCGAAACCAGCATACTCAAAGTCCGCATGACCTGCAAGGCACAGAAACCCCAATTCAGACGTGCCGGTTTACCTTCGAGGGTAGCATGGCCTTGCATGCTTCGATACTTGAAGAAGGCCGCCGGCCCCGATAGTGGCTCAAAGTCGTTGGCCTGGTCCCAGAACTTCAAGGCTTGGAAGGCTGCCTGCCGGATAGTCGGATATCCAGTCTTATTTTAGGTTTGACGACATTGCCTACAGACTGGCGACTGCTTGCTCCGCCGCGCTCGTACAGGTGGGGTTAAAAAAAATGCGGATCGGAGATTGGCCCCATTTCATCTGAACACATTGAACGCGACCAACGCGCCTCAGCGTTGTTGAATGCCCTCCAAACTCCAGGCAATTGTGGAGCTTGCATGAGCAAGGGCACCTGAGCGGGCTTGGCACGTCTCACTGCATGGGATCCTGCAGTTGTCAGCCCCCACGATGTAGATGTGTGTCTGTGTTGGTCTCCCAGCATCTGCTTCAAGAACTGGGAATTGCAACCAGCTTGGGTACGACTAGGATGGTCAGGCTCTTGGGCTGAGTGCTCGGCTGGTTGACCGTAATGTCGCGGCCCGTTGAGGAATATGGGCCTAATTAATGCGTTTCTTTCCTTATTAGCCGGTACCAAAACAAACGGCGGCCTAATTAATGCACTTGCTTTGGCTGGGGGGATTTTTTCTGGGTGCTGTTTGCTGATGGTCAATCTTACGGCACCCACGACCTAAACCCCCTGTGCTGCTGCACTGCTACTTTGCTATTACTGTATTACTGTACTACTATACCGTACTACTACCGCACAGTAAGCCTCAAACGTGGTCGAGTGTGGAGGGGAGTGTAAATTATGTGCAAAAAGTGTTCAAAATGAAGGGTTTTTACGCTGGGTAGCTATCTTGGATTGATTGGGGCTTTGGTTTCCAGCTTTTTTGATCCCCAAACCCCGCTAAACAGCTTCAGGCACTCCTAAACCCTCCTCCTGTACTACTGGTGTACTACTAGTGTACTGCTACTGTACTACTATTGTACTACTACTGTACTACTACAGGAGCTCGTCGTTGCAGTTGCAAGTCCTAATAGCACCCACAACCACTTACAGTACTGCTACAGCTACGGGGATTTCGCTGGCTTTACACTTTGCTTATTGGGCGAGTGTGCTCACTAACTTTATGCTTTGCTTATTGGGGGAGTGTGCTCACACGACTACGGGACCATAACTGTACTACTACTGTACCGCACCAGGCCTCAGACGTGGTCGAGTGTGGAGGGGGGTGTAGGTTGGAGGCAAAAAGTGTTCAAAATGAAGGGTTCCTAGTCTTGGTAGTTTTCTTGGAGTGATCGGGGTTTCGGCTTCCAGCTTTTGGTGATCCCCAAACACTGCTAAACAGCTCCAGGTACTCCTAAAACACTGTAGAGTTTCTATGCGTTGTGCCGTTCGACTCCTCGACGTACTTTGAGCCCCACTAACTAGCTCTGCCATCGCACGGCATGACCGTCTATAAACTTTGGCAGATGGCTCTTGCCACGCTTTGGCTTCCAACACCCTGCCTTGCAACAAACTCAGTATACTCAGTTTTGCATGAAGCATAAGATGTGTTCTGCGACTTCAAATGCAGTCTTCGTCTGTAGCCTCATGATTTGACTCCTCACCTTATTCGTGATTGTCGAGTCTGGCTGTGCTGATTGCTCAATCCAACTCGCTGTAAAGCTTGTGCGCCCATCGCAGTTCACACGACAGGTTACCTGCCCGACAACTGCCCAATCGATTGCTTCAAGCTGCCACTGGCAACAGATTGCTTTTGCAGTCGTATCCTGTTGCAGCGCATGAACTGGAGCCCGCACTTCCAGTTCATAGAAGTTGCCCAGGAAGGAAGAGCCGCAAAGCCTCTCTACTGTCACGAACCACTGCATCCATTCAGCATGAGTGTCAGTACCAATATCGCAGGGATCATGCATGGTAAACATGCCTGTCGCAAGCCGATTCTTTGCCAGGATAGTAGAAAGCGATGAGGCCAACGTTTCGCCCTCCTCAGCTGCAGATGATGACTACTGCAACTTGCACAGCCGCAGAATGGAATCCTCTGGTCTGAAGAAGTTGAGTGCCGCTGCTGGGCGCCAGGCGGAGTCTGAACTCAATGGGTTTGGGGCTCGATGGTGTCAGGGCCTGTTTCACCAATGTCTGTAGGATCGGAACTGTTTCCAAAACCATTTCGCTTTTTCTGCGCGCCACCACGCAGACTTTCTGTGAGTCACTTTTCAACACTGCGCAAACGCGCATTTGCTAAACGGCGTCCAGCCATGCTGACTCGCAATGCACCTCGTATCCTTCTTCACACAATTCCCAGGCCAGCCTTTCGCGACTGAAGGCAGCTTTCGATGTCCAACAACGCGCCCATGTTTGGGCAGGGGAGCAGGGATCTGCTGCCAAAATGTATATTTGCACCAGAATTGCGGCCAACGCAAACATGCATATTATGCGAGGCGAAGAACGGAACAAATTTCAACTCCAGCAATCGTGTGCGACATCGAAATATGCAACATCTCGCTACACGAACCGATTATCCATCCGTGCTCTGTATAAGGACCGGCTTGCATATATCCAGATGATACGTGTATGTGCACTCTGAGGGTGGACATACGAATATGCGGCATGTCTATGGTGCCGCATGGTGCCGCGTCGCCGCGTCGCAGGCCCCCCTCCACCCAACCCCCATGGTATGCCCCCCCCCCCCCAGCCAGGCCTCTCGTCCCATCACAGTCATCCGCCTAACTCCCCCCCACGCCAGGCCTCGCCTCTCGCCTTGGCAAACGGGGGGGGGATAATCCGCAACCATGGAACCACAAGACAGCGAACCACAGGGGCGGGGTGGGGAAGGATAATCCACACAGGGAACCACCAACCTCCTTCCCCTTCCCCTTTGTTCGACACACGTATGAGAAATATGGGGATGATGTTGCGCACAATGATTTTGATGTGCTAATCCCAGTGTGGCTGTTGGTGGTACCTTTGCTCTTATGTTGCTCTGGGCTTCGGCACCGCAGGTTCGTTGCTTTCTCTAGTTGAAAACCGTGCTTGGCTTGTGATGTGCTTGCGAAAACTGTACCGACCGTTGTCATTCCAAGCCAAGTTTCGGTTGGGCTCGTTAAAAGTAAGCTTGAGCACGTGATTGAAAGATTTTCATTCGGGACTCTTGAGCAAGGGACCGGAGGAGAGTGCGGATGGGGATCATGACCACCATCTTCGCCATCATCATCACCATCAGACTCATCACTATCATTGGCTTTGAAGCTCAGGCAGGTCGGAGTTCAATGGAACTGTATCACATCCTACGGTCCAAAGCCTTAGCAACCGGACGCCCAACCAGCAATAGCCATGGAAGTGGGCGCAGCCGGCCGCAACCACAGGGGGGAGGGACGGGGGAACCCACACCACAGGGAACCACAGGGGGGGAGGGGGGGGGATTAACCCGCTTTACAACCAGAATCCCTACTTTACAACCAGAATCCCCACTTTACAACCACAGACACTGTTTTCCGTGTGAGAATCCCCACTTTACAACTGCCGATCGTGAGAACGCCCACTTTGCAACCCGTCTACCCATGATTAAGACTTATTGGGATCTCATGAGTTTTTTACAACAAATCAGAGCTTTCAGTTGTCATGCTCGCTCGCCCTTCGTGTTTCTAACATGTTTGGGTGCTCGCTCGGCCGTCTTTTTTTCCCCAATGCTGGTTGCTGCTTGCAGCGATCCCCGACGATGCTTGCCCGGATTCGCAGGTTTACCCGCGTCTTTTATGAACTTAGCCACTATTTCTTATCTGAGTTACACTATCAGGATTCCGGAAAAGCATCACCCCTCAGCCTCCCTCTTTCGTTTCGCCGCTTTCGGGCGAGACTGCGAGGTAGCCTGCTTCAGCCACCACCAAACAATATAGTAAGCCTGATCTCTGTTCCTTCGTGAAGCTGGAATTGCTTTGAGCGTCTTCTTCTTGGGGTCATGACCACACACCGGGAGATCACCATTAAAGCTGGCGGCGCATGAGTTCCTTGGGTAAGATTCGGTTAGATAGTACTTTGGAAGAAAACCAAACTCGCTCTAATTGCGGGCAAGTCTCTTTCCATCAAAGATCTCCCCAGAAAGGAGCTTTCCCTGGAAGTGGGGAAGTGTTCGATCTTTGTGGGTCACCATATGCATCGACGTCCCTTCGGGAAGGGGGAACTCTCGAGTGAGCTCTGGAGGGAGCGATGTCGTCGTCGAAAGAGCAGCCCTGGAAACCCTTGCAGCTGTAGGCGGGGTTCTCGCAGCAATCGCCAAATCGTCGCCCCCCTCCGGTGGAACCTCGGTTGTTTCGAAAGCCATTGCAGTGCAAATTCGGAAAGAATCACGAAAGAGAATGAGAAAGAGAGCAAGAGAGAGAGAGAGAGAGAAGGTGGAAACAAGTGCAGGGTAGATACATCATCCTCCTCATCATCGCCCATTCCAACCAGGAGCTCTCTGCATGCCTTTGCAGCCGGATCCTCTTCCAGCTCCTCCCAGTGGATCTCCTCCGCCTGGCTCTATGGTTTTCGCGAGTCATGTGTTCGATGAAAGTACACATAAATCATGAAAATGGCGGATTCAGGATTTAGCGCCTCGTTGCTTGGCTCGTTCGCCTTCTCTTCCTTCTTTCTTCTCTTCTCTTCCTGCTTGTCCAGCACTGCCAAAACATCTCTGATCTTGTCCGCACTGCATTCCTGAGTGATGCTGTCCAATTGGAGGATTCTTCTGATTCGTGCCGCCTTCGTTGTGTTCTTCGGCATTCGGAGGCCACAGGAACCAAGATAGTCCATGAGGCTGGCATTCGTAAGCTTCAGGATGAAGCCTTTCTCCACCAGAAAAGGCATCAGCGAGAAGGCCTTCTTGCCCCGTCGCAAGACGAGGTTCGTGCCACACTTCTCTCCAAGGCTCTGGTCGCACAGGTGGGTGGTGTAATCGTAACATCGCACCTGGAGGGCATACTGTTGGTGGAAACTTCAGAAGCCGAAAGCCGCATCAAATCACGACTTCAATACGTAATTACTTGACAAGCCTCGTCAGCCTTCACGAGCAGCTTGCAGACCAAATGCCTGCAATCCATGTTGCATGCGATTATATCACCCAAGGAACATCCAGTCCAGCCCCGCCTTCCAATGTTCAGCGTCAGCGCCCGGGCGCTCTCATCCGCTGACAGCACATCTTCGGCACTCAAGTCCTCGCTTGCCGGGATGCGAGTCTCATCCTTCTGCATCGCGGGCAAAGGACCCTGGAAGGACCAGGGCAACTCCTTCAGCTGCACAGCCTCAGATTCTTGTGATGGATTGTGGGCCTAATGTCGCACGAGCGAAGGGAAATGAGTCTTCAATCAATCACAGCCCAAGAGCATTCAGGATCGCCGGTGTTCGCCCCAAGGATAAGAAGTAGCTCTCACCCTGCGAGAAAAGGATCCCTGGAAAGATGGTCTCGGGCACCCAGAAATTCGGAATCTCAGCGGGGGGATCTCGTCCCATCCTTGGCGGCGTAAGGATTGCGTAATGAAGCGGAACTCTGCGTGTTGCCACTTTTGGCTTTCGGGTGTTGTGGTGTCATTTCTCACTCCCTGTCAGTCTTGTCTATTTGAGGCAAGAAACGAATCTGCAAGCATCAAACCAGACATGTAGTTCAAAGCCCCGTGGTTGTGATGGAAGGCGGAGGTAGACGGGAACGGTCTGCAAATGTTGTCGTAGCAGATGTTCTGGCCTTGCAATCGACAAGACGTTTTCTACACCCTCACAAAAAACAAAAGCGAGCAGGGCCAACGTCGTGAGAGAGAGCACAAAGGATATCATCATTCACAATCTCACATCCAAGCGGCAGGGCGGGGCCGACGTGGGATTGAAGATCTTCGGCTTCAGTGCGGGAGCTTGTGGTCCACACCAATCCTCTTTCACGAGGCTCAAAGGTGCGGCGGTGTCGTCGCCGATGCACAAGCGACGATGTAGCCCACGGATCGCAACAGCCATCAGGTTGGAGAGCGAGCCCACATCACTCTGGCCAGACCTTTTCACTGCCGTCGTCATCTCCTTGAACAGGCTTTCGATGTTCGCGGACCATGCGATTTCGGGGTACCACGACAAAGTCAGGCTGAGGCAATCCGGATGCTCCTTCCACCCGTGCTTCTCCCATGCCGCCATGAGCTCGCGGTAGCATTGGTAGCACACGTGCCGGCAGTGCTCGTGCAACTCGGCCGCCGTGGCCGAGCTCTTTTCAAGCCTCAAGACCATCTCCCACTCGGCTTTCATCTGGCTCAAAATGAGCCTCTTGATCTCTGGCTCCGATTCAGGGGCGATGAGAGCGGCGGCTTTCGACGGCGAGGACCGAAGGTAGAGGAAGTGCTCCAAAAGCTCTAGTGCTGCACAAAGGTACATCCCCACCGACTCAGACAGCACTGTCTCAAAAGTGTGGCACCGGCGGAACTTCACAACCAAAGCCTCACGACAAGGGCTTGACATGCTGAGATTGTGATGCTCATCTTGCTTGGCTCATGAGTATCGGCCCGGGGCCGGAGGGATTGCTAAACTGGACGAAAATGAACAATGAATCGTGATTGGTAAATATGCCGTGCGTATCGATCGACTGGCGTTGCTCCAAAACCCAACAAGAGGTTTAGATGTTCTCCATTCGAGTCTTCGCAGTGAAGAATGCAATCAAGCCGTTGAAGCCGGTATTCATGTGTTTGAATCACCAAACCCAAAAAGCAAGTAATCCAGCACTGTGGTGTGCGTGGCCTCTTGAGTCAGAGGTGATGATTGCTTTGTTATAGTTGATTTCATATGTACGGTTGCCGCTACAATCTGTAGAGATTATACCATCCGGACAACCCAGTGCTCGAGAAGCTGCCCAACTCGCCGCTGATTATGTGACTATTATTGCTGAATATTCATTACGATTGTTAAGTAGTAAGTATGTCTATTTCTATACCGTGCTCTAATCGGTGAGCCTTGCAACTTACACGTTTTTCGGCGACCGTCCACTGATCCGGCTCAGTGGTGCCTGGTTCCTGCGTGAGTTTGTTCGGTTTGTTCTTGACGTGGATTTGATTCAATATTGAACACTTGGGGTGACCGCCTCAGCGGTGGACGATTTGGCTAAGTAATAGTTCCTCGTCTAGAAGACAAGAACAGACACATCATGATCAAACTGCACTGAAATGGCCTGCCCGTTCACGGCCACATCCGGCGCCATGTCCAGAACCTTCAAGGAGAGGCACTCTTGTGCGAGGGTGGAGAGCTTCAGCTCCAGCTCGTCCGTGTTGGCATGCAGCGTGAAGTTGTGCAGGGCCATCTTCTTGCTTTGCTCTTTTTGCTTAGTTGCAAACACAACATGACGACATGCGAACTGCAGCTAGCTGGTATGCTTTTGCGGGCAGTGTGACCAGAAATGCTGTGCAGCTGTGGCACAAGTTGCAAGCAAATCTCTTTGAAAGGAGTGACCACCTGGCGGGCGAAGCGGAAGATCCCAAAGAGCTGCTCGTCCATCAGAGCCTGTTTGGAGTGCGATTGCGGGGACCAAGTCTAGGTCAGTCATTGCAATAGACTACGAAATCCTGCCTTGACACACTTCTCCACGGTCCGATCCTGACTCGATTCGCTCTCCTTCTTCAGGGCTTCCATGTTCAGCGGGTTTTTGCCGACCTGTTCCCAAGCTGATTTGCGACCGTGTGTGCATATGTGTTGTGTGCTTCTGTGTGTGTCTGCATCAGTCAGTGATCACTGAGCCAGGAATCAGTCTAACATCCAAACCCTGAGCTAGGAGGCACCTGTCGAATGGAATCATGAGTCAGAGGGAGGGAGGGAGAGAGAGAGAGAGAGAGAGAGAGAGAGAGAGAGAGAGAGAGAGAGAGAGAGAGAGAGAGAGAGAGAGAGAGAGAGAGAGCGAGAGAGAGAGAAAGAGAAACAGAGCAAGAAAGAAAGAGAGCGAGAGAGAGAGAGAGAGAGATTGATTGATTGGATGAGAGAGCGAGAGAGAGAGAGAGAGAGAGAGAGAGAGAGAGAGAGAGAGAGAGAGAGAGAGAGAGAGAGAGAGAGAGAGAGAGAGAGAGAGAGACAGAGACAGAGAAAGAGAAAGAGAAAGAGAGAGAGAGAGAGAGAGAGAGAGAGAGAGAGAGAGAGAGAGAGAGAGAGAGAAACACACACAGACAGAGACAGAGAGGGAAAGCAGGAGCGAGTTGAGCGGGGAAGAGAATCGAGAGATTGTCCCTGTGTTCGCGGTAGCCAGGCAGGCTTGCATACAGCAACACGAGCAGCGACTAAGCCAGGCCTCGAGGGAGCTCCATAGAATCAAGAGCAAAGTGCACGACATCTGGAAGTTTGCGGCAGTATGGGCCCATGAGCACCATCGAGACCAAGAGAAGGACTCACTGTTATACCTTGAATGTACACCCAAACAAGCACGTCGATGAATGCATCTTTCTGGGCTCACAATTATTGTGCAGTTTCGCCCAAGCTTTTGCATCCCAGTGGCTTCATCGTCTTGCCGAGGATGTCGATCGTCCTCTCGAAGTTCAGCTTGGCATCCGAAGTGTAGGGCAGGCCGTTCCTCGGCTGGTTCAGTTCGGTGTGATCAAACGATTCACGAAGAAACCAGATAGTCTGGACGACACAGCTGAGTCTCTCCTTCAAGATGTCCCTGCTGAACAGCTCCATCAGCACATCGTCTTGCTCAGCCTTAGATATTAGATTTAGGTCTAATCTATCAAGTCAAACCAGTTCCTGCAGCTTGTAATTCAAAGCAGCACCATGAACTTAGGATTTGGTTGAGCCACAACTTCCAGATATCTTTCCCCAGCCTCTTTCAGGGTGGAGGCAACATTGCTTGTACCCCAAGGAGATTTCTTGGCTCTGAAGAGCCACCCGCTCAATAGCGTCATTCCTAAGCGACGGGACACACACACACACTCTATTTAGACTTTAGAGGGTGACTTTCAGGCAGGCATCTGATTAAATAGTTCAATCAGACCAGTGATCGGCAAAGCTTTGGGCTGCACAAATCCGAACGGCCAAGGGTCTTTTGATCGTCGGGCTGCAGCTTGTAACTCGACCCATATGGGCGTGTATCTTGTGCCTCAGATAACTACGAGAGGGCAAGAACTCCGCAAAAGGCAGCACACACACACACACACAAAAAGCAAGTACTTTCAAGCATGCTGTCGAGATGCAGCTCATCCCTGACGAACCCTATCCTTGCATTGTTCCAGGCCAAGAATTGAAACGTAGCAAAGAGAGGTCCCCCTTGGTCGGGGCAAAGAATGAGGCGGAGGGCCTCATCCGGCATATGTGTGTCCCAACGGCTGCTGCCTGTCGATCGGTTCACAACATAACCCAGAACCCCATCGCCCGTCGCGTGAAGTCGTCTCTCTTCGGCGTCGGGGTTGACTGGAGCACACGGGGTGCTCGGGAACAGCTGGTCGAGGCTGAGGCCAATGTGGCTCATTGCATTCGAAACAGCCTTCAGCTCCTGCTTGGCAGCCAATCTGTCCTCTTTGAGAGCATTGAGTGCTTTCGGCCTAAGTAGAATCACTGAATCGCACTGGCTGTCTCCATGCATCCCAGAACACTGTATGAATTGCATGAAGCAAGCAGCAACTGCTTCTTTTCGTGGGGTTTCGTCGGCTCGGCCAGGACGGCTTTGGTGTGGGCTTCGGCAACCATGGCTGCCGCGGCCAACTTATCGCTTGCGGAGGCTGTGCTCGGGAGCAGGGTGCTCAATCTTTGCAGCGTGCCAACCGATAGCTGGTCCGGTAGGGCAAACACAGGCAGCCACACCTTACTTCGGTTCAGTTCCCAATCCCAACAAATCAAATGCAAGCTACAGTACAACCTCAAAGTGCCGCCCAGACTCGTCGTGCTTCGCTTTGGGGCTGGCATCGCAAATTAATGCGATGGACTTGTTCTGCAGGCCCTTGAGAACCTGGACTGGATGCAATCAGAGTTGAGGATCGAGGCCTGGATGGGGGTTTCGATTTCACTTTCGGTGGCCTGCTGCGTCGTCTGTTGAGTCTTGCAGAGATAGCGGTGCACGAAGTCAGCCGTCGTCCTGATGTAGTGTCGTGAGTAGAAGCAGCAACTTTGATACAAGGCGAGCTCTCCTTTTTACAAAACTAGCCAGTCCTGTTGTAATGCGTGGGGCACAGCGACTCGAGCCCCACCTCCTTCAAGCTTGCATCCGCCTGGCTGCTGCAGAAGCCACCGCCAAGTGACAGGAATCGGGCGATGGCCATCTCCGATTTTGGCTTGCTCTCCAGCTTCAATCGTCGTCCGTCCCTGGTCGCAGCAGAACAGCAAGCTCAGCCAAAGCCCTTGCCCCAGCAAGCCCAAACTAACTCATTGCAGCCGAGGATCTTGGTCGCCGGGTGGAACTTATGCTCTGGAGAGAGGGGCGGCATCACATTGGTGGCCAGGTTCTCCAAGGATTTCTCAGCAGCTTGACTCAAAAGATGCACCAGCCGTCGTTGCAGCCGAGCAAGCGTGGTTTTGTCCTCGGTTGCGGGTTGTGCGACTCGACACAAGGACTTCAAATCTAGGCATTCTATTTATTGTTGCCAGGCAATTGAATTGAACTAGAATCAATAAAATAATTACAATAAGAAATTACAAGACATGATAAGTGGCATCCAGGCTATCCGCGTGGGGCAGCCGAAGCAGAAACCACACGATCAAAGGCAAACGAAGGCCTCAGGGTATGAGCGACTCTCGGGAAGTATTGCTAGTCCATAGGAAATATTATAGAATATAGATTAGATTGCACAGTGGACCAGCCTGTGTCCACTGACTGCTCTTCCTTGGAGAGCAGCTTGCAGCCCTGCCACCTGCATGCTTTCTGCTGTTTCATGTTCGGAGGGAAGGCACAAGGGCAGGTAACAATTAGGCATTACTTGGGACCTCTGCTTCAGATTCGCATACTCCAAGAAAGCTTGCCACGAGGCCAACGACACATAGCCGTCGTGCACATGCAGCAGACCTCAGATAGCCCTAAGCCAAACACACATGTCACGATAGAGGCAGCTGCAGCAGCACGATGATGTTGGCATGATGATGTAACGATGGAGGATCTCAAGCCAAGCGACAGGCCTCGTTCCTGGGGAGCAAGGCCAGTCGGAAGCTGTCCAAAACGGTAGTCCCCAAGATCACATCTAACGTTGTCAGAGCAGATGACTGCATCTCCTCTTTGCAGCCACGGCTTTGCAAGACGTACCCTGCCTGCTCCAAGGTTGCACTTCAGTTGATGCACTGCTGCTTGGACAGCACTGGAAACAGAAGTGCTAAGATCATGTAGCCAAGTCACCATGAAAATCGCACCGGGCACTGTTAACCCGTCGAAGGGCAGCCGGGGGCGCTGGGGGTTCGTTTTGGAGGTCGGGCCCTTGTAGCTCGCTTTTCTGATGCAATGAAAGTTGATCAAATCAATTCGCCAGGCTTCGCAGATATCCATGACGAGCCCCTCGTGCCTCAGATCGGAGAACATGGCTTGGGCTATGGTAAGGTCCGGCCAGCAAGGATTTAATTAAGTGTTTGAGGGTAGTGGGTTTTCAAGTAGGCAAGGGTTTCGGCAACAACAAATATATGTGTTATTTGTGTTTCTTATTCGAACTAGTATGAGTACTGTTATTAGAGAATGGAATTCAAGTTTAAGTAGGCTAGTTAAAAAGAGTGATTACATTTAGTAGGTCTTAGTCAGGGCCGGGCTTGTAGTAGGCGGGGCACAATTTCGAAAAGAAGTTGTGGAAGTGCTGCTGCCTTTTCGACAAAGACCACAGCTCCTCCACCCGGAAGAGCATTCGGTAGCCCTGGATGTCGTCGGCCACCTGTGCGTGTGTTCATCTGTGAAAGACAAATATCAATCAACCAGTTAACATCAGTTTTATCATTCATATTCAATAACCTATCAATATCAGGACTGCAAAACCAGCTCTCCTATGTCTGTGCCTTGTGTACTTGTAGAACTCCCTTGACGGCTTTGGTCGAGGCCAGGTAGAGGGTTTCGAAGCTGTGGTAGTCTTGCCCAGGACTACAGCTGCTGTCGTCAGCTGCTGCATCTGATGCCTGGCCTTCGTTACTTGCTTCTGCAGCAGCACCGAAGAGTCTCGGCCGAAACCAAAGGCCACAGGAAGCCGCTCTGGTGCGAAAGCTCAGCAATGCCTCCTGCCAGACGGAAGCTTTAGTTACTTTAGTTATTGATTGGGGTTGATTCGCTTGAGTGGTCAAACTAGAGCAAGCGGCATAAGCCCCGGGCCTCCCAGGCTGGAGGACTGACATCTAGTGACCCAACAGGTCTGTTGTTGGCGAAGCAGCCATCCATGTACTCTATTTTTTTCTGGATGTCATTCCTGAGCTGGTCTCTTTCCTCGTCGTTCTGAAGCCTTGGATTCTGGCTATTGCTGGATCATCGCAATTCAGAACTGAGTGAGCACGTTACACCCGAGCAAGCACGTTCACCAACCCCCACCGGGAAATTGCAGCCGAGAATCCCTCGCAGCTTCTCTATCCTGCCTTCCAGCCAGGAGACAGCTGCCATGGTCGCCTAAGATGCTCGCTCAAGCTGGCATGCTCACCGGATGCGTTTTTTTCGTCGGGGTGTGCAACCTTGGCGAAAGTTTTTTGCGAGCTAGCACTCCAGCAGCGGAAAGCAATCGAGAAAAATCAAATCGCGACCGCGTCAACGATTGCGGTGACGAGCACGTAGAAATTGCAGCCGGCAGCAGGTGCCCGAGCGGGCACGTTAGGTCCCAGCGAGCACGTTGGCAGCACCAGATGACCAAAACACCCACTTCGCCTTCTATTCTCTCTTCCAGCAATCCCGCCCAATCCGAGCCCGGCTGCCGCCCGGCCCCCGCCAGCCCCAGCCCCGCCAGGTGCCCCAGCCCAGCCCGCCCCACCCCACATTCAGCACTCTCTGGCTCTTTTGCAACCAAGGAGCAGCAGGGCCAGCTGGGCACCAAAGGCGAAACCACGGCAGCAAAAGCGATTGGGAAGGGCTCGTTACTTAAGGTTTGGTTTCGGGGCACACTTTCGGGTTGCGGGCACACTTTCGGGTCGCTAGAGTGCAGCCAACCTTTCGGAAGATTCTTTGGGGTTGTTCGACCTGAACCGAGTAGTTTCTCTTTTGGAGGCAGACATAGTTCAGTGCCAGGTTGAGACTGAGGTTCATCCTACTTGGGCTTGGGGTTGGTTTGTCAGTGCCTGGGGAGAAGTAACTTGCACGAACGGAAGCTCGCCGTGTGTCTAGAACAAACAGGTGGCTTAGGCTTAGGGCTAGGCCAGGGTTTTAGTAGACAGGGATGTCAGGACTTCGGCGGGTTCGGGCTTTAAAGCTGTAGGTTCGAGTAGCTAATGTATGTTGTTAAATTAAGAAGATTTTACTATTATTCTGATTATTATCATTATTATGCTTCTTCGTCTACATTGTCTAGTGACTCTAGTCGTTCCGAATCAGAAGCTTTCTTCCTTGATTCATGGTGTGTCACTTTGTGTTCCTGTAAGAGCCACGACCTCACACGGCATGGCAATGATTTAGGTTCATGTAGATCTCGCACACAGACCTGCACTTCACAATGGGTGCTCCTGATCATTATTCGGCTCAGTGGCTGCATGTCTGGCAAAGAGCAGAACTGCCCACGGCCGTGTTTTAAGAGAACCACAGCCTGTCTGCAGCAATCAGCAAGCTTCCTGGAACACAGCTCAGCAAAATGCCTAGATCATCCTCGGTGCTTTGGACATTGGCAGCAGTAGTGAATGAAGCATGCTTCGACTCGCCCGTTGAGCAGCCTAGAACCTAAACCTGGCCCTGCATATCGAAACCCTGAAGTCCATCACACCGGGAAACAGCGTGGCAGCCACTCAGGTTGTCGGCTTAGCGGCCCCTGGGCGTCGCGACGGTGTCGTCGAGGCCACTGCATCTTCCTGGGAGCTAGAATCAGCCAGCTGCAAGATTTTGGAAACTGTTCCCATGACATTACACTAGTGCAGCCTGCGTGCAGCTACCACACCAGGGATCTTGGCAGCCCATTCATCAAAGACCTTTCGGGCCCTCAGAGACATCTTCATGAAGAAGCCCTTGCCAGGCCCCAGATTCGTAGAAAGGGCACCTGCTCTTGATACCCGTACAAACCACGAGAACAGCTGCACAATTGAACTAGGAACGACTTAACGAATCTGCCTGCGATGCCCAGCTTGAAGTGATCCATCTCAGTCAAGGCCTCCTTCTCGAGGCAAAGCATCCAATAGCTGAAATCAGCCCTCAGACACTCAGACTCACTGTCGCTCAAGTATCTAGGACGTGTCGCGACCGGGCACACAAAGGACAACTCTCGCAAGGACCCGCAAAAAGCAGCAGAGTGCAACCAGGACACGAAGACAGCTCCGAGAGGTCTGCTGGCAGAGTCTCCAGCACGGCCTTGTCAAACATCTCCACAACAGATTTGATCTTCGGAGTCACTTTCTCCAGCAGGGCGTCCAGGCCGGTTGCCTTCTCGGTGGCCACAGCAAAGCCGCCGGAGAACACATCATTGTCGTCGTCCTCTTCCTCCTGCTCCGACGGAGACCCGACATACGGTGCACCGGAGGGGCTGGGGATCGACTCCTCCTTCTCATTCTCAGACAGCTCCGGGTCTGGCTCGTCTTTCCTGTTCACCCTGGAGCCCTTGCTGGTCGGAGCCACCTTTGGGTTCTTCTCGGGCTTCTTGGGCTTCTCGCCCTGCTGCATCTGCTTCTTCAGGTCATCCGAAGCTGCCTGTGTGGCAGACACAGACAGACAAAAGTTGGCAGGAAGAAGAGACCAGCAACGAGCAGGAGCACCTCGCGTGCGTCCTTCAGCATCCCATCCAGTGCCTTGTTCCAGGCATCCTTGCCACCAGGATACTTCCTCAGACAGATAAACTCCATCCTAGAAAATGCTGTACACTGCAGCCACAGAAAGACGGAATCGGAAACACTCTCATAGGCTTAGTGTCTTGACCTGCCTCTTGTAGAGGCCGCGGAGCACGGCAGAGCAATCCCCGAGGGACTTGGCAGCACATAGCCGGATCGACGAAGCCGGGCGGCCGGTGACTGCAGCAAGGGTAGGTAGGCTTCGAAAGCAGGAAATGTTTGATTTGTGAATAAATTACAGTCTCGTAACTCCAACCCTCGTTTGGCTGCGTGCTGGGACGGGTTGGGCGGAGTTCTCTCTTTATTTCCCAAAACTACCAATCGGTCTCTATGGCTATGGAGATCTGAGATTCCTGGAATCATTGTGCAGCTATATAGTTAGTCGCTAGTTTATTTTACTACTTACCGGCTTGGACTCTGGGACCTGACATACCTATTGTAAAGTGCATCAGCAGACATGTGTGTGCGACAAAGCCATCGGATTGTTCGCACCGAAGGATGACCCATTCCTGCACAGAAACTAGTGACAACCCAGATGTGCAAACCAAGGAACGATGCTGGGCCAGCAAGCCCATCCGGCGCTTCCACACGGTGCCGGCCGTTTTCATCTGGGAAGGAGCAGAAGCTTGGCTCGTCGTATCGAGTCCCATTCTGTTGTGGCCGCCATATAAGAGGTCTGTAGTTTTGGGATACATAACGGCGGGGCTGTGTTGAATTTTGCAGGACAGCTCTAGCACGATGGTTTCGGCTTCAGGCTTTTATTGTGGGCTCACTCAAGAAACCCTTTGTCACTAAACGTAAACTAATCAGCAGCCTGCACCAGAATCCCCAACCCAACTCAGCCCAAACCTGTAAAACCCTAGCAGGTAGAACATCTGTTGCCGGCAAGAGAAAGAATAGTTCTAAGATTTACCATGCTTGGGCGACGGTTGCAATAGACCCCGACGATCTAGCCCCAGCAGAGCAGCCGAGCACCTGGAAAGTTGCATCCTCCTGCTCTTTCTTTGCCCGGTTCTTCTTGGCCAACACGGAATTCTCGAAGCAGGGTCTCCTCAAGATGGTTGGTAGG